TCATTACTCAAATCAAGAAGGTTAATAAACTACTGACGCACAGGCTAAAATCATGATTTTCTTTTCTATATGCAATTAGAATTGGACATAATAACGCATGTGAATTTTATTAACAAAGAGTGTGTGTATTTTATTTTATTTTTTAAAAAAATGTTCTAAAACTTTTTCGATCAACTCCTCTAGATAAATAACAGTGAACAAGATTTGTGTATAATTCATGCTTGCTGTGTGTTTATCTTTCATGCCTATCGCATTACTTATTAGAAAATGGTGATGAAACTTGCATATATAAAATGGGTTATTCCCCAAAGAGTAACATTGCCCATTTTTTAAAAATAAAAATAAAAATGTTAGAAAATAAAGATGGATAGTTTTTATATAAAAATTCATTATGATGTCTAATAGTTGAGATATTGGAGTAAATTAAATTCATCACAACATAAATAAAATAATGTTAAATGGGATAGAATCACAAGGAAAATATTGAAACTCAGATGGAAATAGAGACACATGGAGTTGTAGAGTGATTTGGACACCTTACCTCAAGCATTTTGATAAACTAAGCAAAGCACAATGAGAGAAACATCAAAGCATCATCGCATGGATCCTCCATATCTCTACTGGGTGGTGCCGCAGCTGCGGGGCGCTGAGAATGGGAAACTCGGCGGAGCAGAATGTGCTGTGGAGACTTGCTGAGGGAATCTCTACTGGGCGCTGCGGCGGTGCTGATGGATGCCGGGTGGATGGAGATCGGCGGGGCGAGGAGAAGAGCAAGCTGTGATGTACTGGTGAGAGAAGTGGAAAATATGATTGTAAATTGTAACCTTCCAAAATAATGATTAGGAGAAATCCTCATTCCAAGATAACTATAAAGGATCCCACATATTTTTGATATGTAACAGCTAGTCAGATTCAATAATATTTTTAACAAAATACATGACTTAATTATTCAAATAAAATAAATTAATTAGAATTTGTAATACATTAATTAAATTTTATTAATATTTATTACTAAAGTAATAAGTAATTTACATTTTAATACAAAATATAAAAATGCCAATTATTAAAATACTATAAACAATAATAAGCTAAAATATTATAATTTTTTTTGAAAGGAAAAAAAATTACAAATTTAATCATTAATATAAATTTTAAAAAATTAAATTTCAATTTTTCCAAATTTTATAAACTTTTTTAATATAAATTTATGAAACTTTTAGCACTTTGTTTATTATAGAGTATAATATTTTTTGTATTCTTTTTTTTTTTTTTAAACACATGATTCTTTACAAGGTAGTATCTAAACAGATTCACCACCAAGGTTCGATCCTGGAATGAAATTATTATACAGTGATAGTGAACCATGGTCTACATACACAACGTTGTGTAGATCATGGTCGTCAAATGAAACTGTAGTAAAATTAAAATGATAATTTAGGCTCCGTTTGGAAAGCAATAAAATGACTTCTGGAAAATGACAAATTTTTCGGAAAACATTCTTCTTTCCGCTGTTTGATTGCACAACGAAAAACTGTCTTTTTATGTTTGGTTCATTTTCCCGAAAATGAGCAGAAAAATGAATAAAATTGTATACTTCATTTTCCAACTCAAATGAGTCTACTTTGAGAATATATCAATTTCTCATTCATCTATTATCCGTTTTGAACGTATAATATATTATAAATTTCACGGGTTAAGGTCACAAAAAAATATGTCCCGAAAAATAACGGGCCTAACGGGTCTGGTCCGCTAAGAACCGCAACACGTGTGGGTTAACTCGCACGGACTAGGGGCCAGCCCATGGGCTAAGCCCTAATAAAAAAATAAATATACATATATATGTTACACAGCAAGGTAGAATGCTGTCTTGCTGTATAACATTATATATATATATATATATATATATATATATATATATATATATATATATAATATTACCATATTAAAAAATGTAATTTTTTTTAAATTTAAAAATAAAAAAATTAATATTATTTGTAGACTTTACTTATATTTTTTTTTTTTTTGAACTTTGAATTAATATTAATTTTTGTTAGACTTTAAACTTGGATTGCAAATTCACAATGTTAATGTTTGTAGACTTTACTTAATTTTTTGAACTTTGAATTCCAAAATAAAAAATAAAAAAAATAAAAAACAGCATGCGAGACCAGTCAACTTGCGTGGCAAAAAATGTTGTGCAACCGTGTGCACGGAATTGGATTCATAATTTCTATACTATAGATTCATAATAATTATTGAACTCTATATTCACAATTACAGAACTCTATGTTAATAATTTTTTATGTTCATATTCCCAATTGTTGAACTTTGTTTTCGCAAATCACAGAACTATATGTTCATAATTTGATAACTATACAGTTTAGGAATTATGAATCTACAGTACCAAAAAGTATGAATCTACAGTACATATATTATGAATATACAGTATAGAAATTATGAATCTACTGTTTAGAAATTATGATTCTACAGTATAGAAATTATGAATTTATAGTATAGAAATTATGAATCCAATTTCGTGTGCACCTTGCATGGTGCACACAGTTGCACAACATAATGCTCCAACCTGCGTGGGGCGGGCTATGGTTGCATGAACCCTAGCCCACGGACTTGATGGGCCGGGCTGCAAAAGACCGCTAGAAATTAGACCCGAGAAATTTTACATGTGCATCCCTTGAAAAATGACTTCCAAAAAAAAAAAAAAAAAAAAAGAGGAAGTCATTTTCCCCCAAAACATACATATTTTCCTTTGACTAGGGCATCAATTTCCATTGACCTAATTTTCCCCCTCTTGCCAAACACTTGAAACTCGCAAAACATTTTCAAGAAGTCATTTTCTAGGTTTCCAAACGCACCCTTAGTGTTTGTAAGTATAATGAAACTAGTGCGTGTACAAAATGAAACTAAAAAATAAAGCTCATTTAATAATGTATGTTGTCAAATGAAACTGTAGTATAATTAAAATGATATTTTAGTGTTGCTATACTGAAACTAGCGTGTGATGAAAATGAAACTAGAATCCAGATCCATACAATAACATATATTGTCAAATGAATCTAAAGTGTAATTAAAATAATACTTCATTACTATAAGTGAACAAGTGTGTGTGGATAATGAAATAAAAAAAAAAAAAAAAAGATCTCTTTTAATGTGAGCGTCGAAGGAACTTGTAGCCACTAGCTAAGAGTGTGTACAGATAAATTTCACCTTGTGACTCGAATCAACAAAAGATCACAAGAAGATAAACTTGTCTATCTTATTTATAGACCAACTCAAACAAAGAAGACCAATCAATTACTGACATACCGGCCAAAATCATGATTTTCTCATCTATATACAATTAGATAGAATTCCACGTAATAACGCATGTGAATTTCATTCACAAAGAGTGTGTGTATTTTTTTCTTTTAAATGTTCTACAACTTTTTCAACTCCTCTAGATAATTAACCATGGTCAAGATTGCGAATGATATTGTGGTATAGTGACACTAAGTTGCTCTCTCATATGAGAGGTTGTAACATAGTTATATATATATATATATATATATATATATATATATATATATATTTTATATGGATATGGATAATGGAGACACCTCCAGCTTCCAAACATCACTCTCGATTAACCAGAGAATGAAGAGGAGTTCTATGCGGTTTGGCTGCTTGATAACTGATAAACCTATAAAGTTTCAATTTTTTCAGGACACCATGGCTGGTGTTTGGAGACCAGGAATGGGTGTCACCATGCGTAAGTTACAATCACACAGGTTTCTGATCCGTTTCTATCATGAGGCGGATATTGTCAGGCAATTGGTTCATTCCTGGGCACATTCGTGATGTTGGACAAGAGGAATTTAGACGGATCCATGCACACGTTTTATCGTGTGCGAGTTTCTATTTATGTTGCAAAACCGTTGAAAAAACAAATGAAACTCAAGCGAGATAACGGAGCCTGTGCTATTATTGATTTTCGTTATGAACGACTCCCTACCTTTTGTTTCTTGTGTGGCATTATAGGGCATGGGGAGAAGTATTGTCACAAGATCTTCATGAGTGCGGATCTGGCTGCTGAAAAACCGTATGGGGCATGGCTCCGTGCAGGCATGAGAAGGGCAGTTCCTTCTGCTGGTCAGTGTTTTGTTGCTCTGGCATCTATTATAGAGAGGCAGAATTGGAAGGCACCAGCCAAGGAGGGTTTTGACTTGTATAGTACTTTTGATCAGGGACCCTAGGTTTCAAATGAGGAGTCTCCGTTTACGAAAGGCAAAGAGGTTATGCAGCCCCGCGATCCTAGTGCTTTGATGGTAGCTCAGCAAGGAGTCTGTATTGAACAGAAAAAACCAAGGATTAATGAAGAGGGCTTGGGTACTGGAATATCCATCACCATTATGGACGATTATGAAACGACTGGTTCAAAAAACTTGGAAATGGCGGGTTTGGCATTGCAAACCCGCCAAGAACAATGATTATCATTGCTTGGAATTGTCGAGGGCTTGGCAACCCTACGTCAGTTCATGTTTTAACGGACTTGATCTGCTCAAAGAGGACATGTTTATTGTTTTTGATGGAAACTTTTCTTGTAAAGCAAAAAATGGAACTAGTATGTATTCAATTGGGATTTAGCAATATGTTGGTTGTGGATGCTCAGGGGCATAGAGGTGGGTGGACTGGCCCTTTTATGGACCGACTGTGTGGAGGTGGAAGTGTTTGGTTTTTCTCAGAATCATATTGACGCAAAAGTTGCTCGATGTAGGTAGCCTAGAATGGCATTTTACAGGGTTTTATGGGTACCCAGAAAGACAATGCAGACGGGAATCATGGAACCTTCTCCGTACTTTGGCAAGTCTAAATACACTATCGTGGGCAGTGATGGGCGATTTCAATGACCTTTTGCATCAAGATGAGAAGAGAGGAAGAGTACCCCATCTTGAGTGGCTCATTGCGGGGTTTAAAGAGGCAATAGCAGATTGTGCGCTCCAAGATTTCCCTTTCACTGGTTACTAGTTCACTTGGGTGAGATCTCTGGGTACACCGGTTATGATAGAAGAGAAACTTGATAGAGTACTTGTTTTAGAGTCCTGGTTGTCGCTTTTTGAAGGGGCAAATACACAATCTTTGACGTGCCCGTATAGTGACCATCTACCCATCCTACTCACGCTAGTTGTTGTTTTGCATGCTCCCCACCGCAAACGGTTTTATTTCGACAATACGTGGCTTCGCCAGAAGACATTTGTCGAGACTCGATATATAGTACAACAAAGCAGGACAAAAACAATGGGTTTAGATATCCTTCAAAGGATTGATATATGCAGTCAAGACATTTGGAGGTGGGGGACGAATTATAACAAGGACTTCCAACGACGTGTAGACCGATGTAAAATCCAACTTGAAAACTTACGTATTCGGAGCGATCATGAGGGTATGCTGGAATATACTCGTGTTGAAAAGGAGTTGCTAATTTTGTTAGATCAACAACATACCTACTGGAAACAAAGAGCTAAGGAGAATTGGTGGAGAAGAGGTGATTTAAATACAAAATTTTTCCATAATTCTGTTACGTCCAGAAAAAGGAGAAATAAGATCCATAAATTACAAAATGAGGATGGTGCATTGATTGAAGGGGTGGATGAGATTGGAGGTGTAATGGTCAACTATTTTAGAAATATATTCACTGCTAAGAATGGGGAAATGGATGAGGCGATTGTAAGATTTCCCCTGATAATATATATTGTATATTATATATTAGGGCCTTAATTAAGTGGTGCAAATTGACTAGACTTGTTAAGTGGTATGATTGGTCTAGAAGTTGTTATTCAACCAGACTGTGCCTAATATAAACCTGGATTGATAGATTGATGGGATACATGATGGTGATGATGTTGATTAGACAACACATTCAGTTACGGTACTCATACTGCTCAGAAAATACCAATACACCATCTAGGGTTCTGAGTCAAGTGTGAGACAAAACTGCTAACCCTATTCTGTAGATCTACTGTTCAAGAGGCAATACAACATGATTAAGAGCATCAATCTCTGCCTGGTTGATTGTTTTGCCTAAAAACAATATTAATTTTTCATATACATCAAGATTTTGTATATGATTTTTAGACTGCTGATTTTTATTTTTTTTTTGGCATTAAGTAATTTTAATTTCGGTTTTTCTTAATCTTGAAATTATAATTTTTTTTTTTAACTGCGAGCAACCGAGTTAAAAAAAAAAAGCATCAGTTTTTCCGGTGGCTTTCCCCTCCGGTCGCTATCGACGTGATGCTATTGAGCCAAGCTTGCGTGGACGATGGAGATCGTTGTGGGTCGACGATGCGTATTGGAGTCTCGGGTGGTGCTTCAACAAAGGAGAACGACGGCGCGATATGGAGTCGTTAGCGGCGAGCGGCGACGTGACTAAGGCCGTCGGCGGTGGCGCTGGTCACTAGCGTTGCGACGAGGCTGAGTTCCATGAGATTGGGAAAAGATTAATTCATTCAATAACTATAACCTGATACAACAATAGAAGTCCCTGTACAATAGGCTATAGAATAGCTCAACTAATTTAAGCCATATAATTATATTAAATATTTAACTACACTAATACTAGCGACGTCCTGGTTCGTCTTCCGCTTCTGGCGATGTCGGCGAGCTTTGGGTATTGGCATCGCGGCGGTGGGCGGCGACGCGCAGTGAGGTGGCACGGCGGAGGCGGGCTGGCTTCCCGACGACCGTCACCACTCTCTGTCTTCCTCTATCCGGCGCTGTGACAACCCAAAAAATTTAATTTTATAAATCCAATTTTAAGAAATTCCAAAATAGTCATTTTCACTCCATTAAAATTTTTTGCGATAAATTGGTGTTTGAATAAATTATTTTGAGTTACATTTTAAATTAATTCAACACCAAAACTTATTTTTATTCCAAAATCCTAAATTTCCGGGTACTTCGCGTACCAAGTTTTAAACTGAGAAACCAATCTGAGTGAGACCGGGAGAAATCTGAACCAAGTATTTGTTTGGAAATCATTTTTGGAAATAAAAAATACATTTGACCCAAAACTATTTAAAATTCACCTTTCTAGTCTATAGTCCATGTTGCAAGGTGGACCAAAAGCATTTTCTCCTCTTGCCTAATATTTCTAAGACAACCACCAAATTACCACTTTGCCCTCCACTAATCATTGGTGATCTACCTAGGGTTTTGGACCCTATAAAAGCCTCACTATTCCATTGTTGTTCCATGATCTCTTTCTTTGCCAAACCCAAAATTTGTCTGCCAAGAGAAGAAAGAACAACACAGTAAGTTCATCTTCATTTTCCCTTCAATCTTAGCCTTCCTTTTATCTTATAGCTTTCATCCATTCTATGAGGTTCTAGTCTAAGCTTTGTATGTTTTGTTTGGGGAGTTAAGTGGTGAAGGAGGTGCTAGCTAGGTTGGGAGGAAGAAGAGATCCAAGCAAGAAGAAGAGGTCTACAAAGGTATAACCCCATGGACTCCTTCTTCAAATTTTGGCTCTGTGAAGCATTGTTTATTAGGTAGAAATGAGTAGAAATGCTAGATTTTGATGTGTTTGAGCTAGGAAGTGATCTATTACTTGTATATGATGTGTTGATAATATTTTGGATGAGTTGGAGTTGGCTGAGAGTGAGTTGCAGATGAAAATTGATCATCTGGTGCACAGACAGTGTGCACTAAATGATGTAACGGCCCTAGCCAACGGCCCATCAAGGGGACCGTTAGCTAGAGCCGTGGCCGGCCGAACCTAGGGCACGGCCCTAGGAGAGGGCCGTTGCCTAGGCTCGTCGATGTAACGGCCTAAGGGGGCGGGCTATGCAGAGCCCCATTCCCTGGTCCCTGAGTGTTGTCTGTGCAGTGGCCGGGACCTTGTGGCTCAACTACGTGTCGTTTCGGGCCAGGTGTCACGGGCCCTTGTGGCTCGGTACCTCGGGACCGTCTCGACGCACGTTTTGGCTTTGATTTCGTTGAATTTGGATTAGAAATGAGCATATTATGATGGATTTATTGATGAAATTGCTTCACAATATGTTTGTTTGAGTTCACTGTAATAAGAATTGCTTTGCTTTGTTGCCCTGATGTTATTTATGTATTGAGTAGAGAAGCATGGTCACTTTGAGAATAAGATTTATTAGCAAAGCATGACTAGAATGTGTTGTTTGATCAATGAAATTTGGAGTATATTTGATGGTAGAAATATATAGAGTTTGATATGTTTCAAACCGAGCATGTTGTTGTATTCTTGAGAAATTCTATGATATATATATATATATATATATATATATATATATATATATATATATATATATATATATATATATATATATATATATATAGAGTTGAAGCATGTTGTAAAGCATTTTTGCATTTCAAGTATAGCATGTCTCAAAAGTGCATAAATGGCCAACGTGAGCCTAAGTAATATTTTCAAAAACTCATGAGCATGTGGTATATCATTACTTTGTTGCATTGAGAAATTGTTGAGTTGTAGCATGCATAAGTTTGGTGCATGAGTGATATATATATATATATATATATATATATATATATATATATATATATATATATATATATATATATATATATATATATATATATATATATATATATATATATATATATATATATATATATATATCAGTGAGGTTATGGAGGATCCCGTTTGGACTGTCCTCTCGAATGATTATTATGGACATTGCAGTCCCAGTATATGTAACGCGGTGTATTCCCACGTTACGAGGTTGGAAACTGCCCGCCAGGCTTAGAATCCTGGTTAGGGGGTGTGCACGCTAATAGTTCAATACCTGATTCCACAGAGTTTGAGCATAGAACCAAGAGAGTGGTTCGATGGTTGAGCAGAGTATTAGGTCAGCAAGACGTCGTGCCCGGATAGGTTCATTCACACTATGGTGAAGTTCCTACCTCGTTCATTTATAAAGAAAGTGAGTCATTGCGACTCTAAGAAAATAAAGAAAGAAGTGATTCATTACGACTCTAAGAAAAGAGAGAAAGAAAGCAAGTCATTATGACTCAAAGAGACCTCCACAGAAAAGTATTCTATTTTTACAAACGAGTGTATGAGTATACGTATAGTATTGCACGAAATTGCATTTGAGTATAGTATTGCATGAGATTGCATTTGAGTATAGTATTGCACGAGATTGCATAATGAGAATGATTAGCCGAGTTTGTTTATGAGTATGATTGCTTGGTTGCATTTTGAGGTCTTATATATCCAGTTTGCATGATGAGAACTTCAAAAACAAGAAGATAGTTTTCGTATTGATTAATAGCATGAAATTGCTTGTAAGCATGAGTTCGTTTTGATAAGATTGTTGTGATATTTATATGTTGGAATATTTATGTTGTTGAGTCATTTGTATTGAAGCATGCTTGTTAATATTATAGGTTGTAAGCATATAGAAAGTCTGTGATGTATCTATAATTGTTTATGTGATGAGATTGTGTGGTTTAATATGTGATCAAATGTTTTTCCAAAGTATACTCTATAGTACTTTACAGGGTTGAGTGTGGTTATACTTAGCTTCGTGCTAACGGGTGTTTTCCTATTTGTCTATATGTTGTTTGTAAAACCCCTTTTAGGTGGGCCCAACATTTGAGAGATGATCGAGTTAGACTAGTCTAGTAGATCTAGTAGTCTGAACTCTCTTTATTATCATGATGTTTAGTATGATGGATTGTAGACTTTGATGTTTATTTTGACGGATTTGTAGACTTATAATTTGATGTTCCAGTTTGATGTTTAGACATCGAGGTGTTTTCCCCCCTTATGACTTTTGATTAAGTTTTATGAATGTCAGTTACTTTTATTATTCTAGTTCCATCCTTAGCCTGTGCAATCATCACGGAGTGGTGGTTGTGGCGGTGACATTCCCACTAGTTTACTTATTAAGTTGTTTTTTCCCTACTTAGTTTATGTTAATTGTGGTTTAGAATTGTAATTAAGATTTAGAAAAGTGGGGTGTTACAGGCGGCGCTGGTCATCATTTCAATTCGGCGCTGGACGATTGGCCTCTCCTCTTCTGCTTTGGCCTGCTGCTGATTGCTCCTCGACGGTGGCCTGCTATTGCTGTCTTGGTGTCGTCTCTCTCTCTCTCTTCCTCCTTCAGTGGCGTTGGATTTAGTTTGGTGTTCATGGAAGCTCACCGCCTGGAGAAGCTATGGAAGAAGATAGACCACTGCAGGTACGGTACATTCCTTATTTAAAGAGAAATTTACCTTTATTATTTGTACCATATTTATTTGCCGAGTTAATACCTAAAATTGTCTTCGACGATTGTTAGTGCAGTAAGAAACAAAGGCAACAGAAGAAAAGGAAGAGAAGTTCTCTGTGTTCTCACTGTCTTTTTTCACTGTGAGTAGAGCAAAATATATATACAAAGCTATAATCCCAATCTTACCTAAAACACTTTCAAACAATCTACCTAAAACATGGTAAGAAATAAATCTCTACCAAAATAATCTACAGTAATACACTAATACCAAAATAATATACAGTATATGATCTTTACATATATAGCATAATATTACTGCTATTATCCCCCTCAAGTTGGTGCATGAAGATCTCGAATGCCCAACTTGCGAATGAAGTATTGGAGTTGTCGTTGTCCCATTGCTTTGGTGAAGATATCGGCGAGTTGTACATGCGTTGAGACATAGGAAGCAGAAATAGTTCCTCTTACAATCTCATTTCTCAAAAAATGGCAACCGACTTCTATGTGCTTGGTGCGTTCATGGAAAACTGGATTTTTAGCCATGTGCAATGCAGCTTGACTATCACAGTAAAGTCTAATGGGTGTGGTATGCACAACCCCCAAATCCAGTAGAAGTCCCTTCAACCATTTCAACTCACAAACCGTCATTGCCATAGATCTATATTCTGCCTCGACAGAAGATCTGTGTGTTGCATCTTTGTCTTCCATGAAATTGGAGAGTTTCCCAAAAGCACAAACCACCCCGTAAGAGATCTTCGAGTCAAAGGATAGCTTGCCCAATCCGAATCATACCATCCATACAATTGTAGATCACATTCACTTCGCAATAAAATGCCTTGCCTAGTATTTCCTTTCAAGTACCTTGCAACACGCAGTGCTGCTTCCCAATGCTCAACTCGTGGGTGTTGCATAAATTGCGACAAAACATGCACACAATATGATAAATCTTGTTGAGTGAAGCATAGATAGATGAGTCTTCCAACCAAACGCCTATAACTTTCAGGATTTTCAAGTAAACTACTCTCAGACTGGATCAACCGATGATTTTGTTCCATAGGAAATCCTGTAGGTTTAGCTCCCAATGCACCAATCTCAGAAAGAATATCCAAAGCATACTTACGCTGACACAAATAAATTCCTTCTTGACTCCTGGCAACTTCAATGCCTAAAAAATATTTCAGCACTCCCAAATCTTTCATGCGGAAACAATCACTCAAATAATTTTTAGTTTTTGTATGCTATCATGGTCATTTCAAGAAATTATCAAATCATCGACGTACACAAGCATATTAATACGTGTCTCTCCATTTTGCATTGTAAATAGCGAATAATCTTAATAAGATTGCTTGAATCTATACCTTTTAAGAGCTGAGGACAATTTCGCGAACCAACACCTTGGTGCTTGTTTAAGCCCATAGAGATACTTTCTTAGCTTGCACACCATTTCGGTATGCTCAACTTTGAATCCCGGTGGCATTTTCATATACACTTCCTCTTCAAGGTCTCCATGAAGGAAAGCATTATGTACATCCATTTGATGCACTTCCCACCGTTTAGCTGCCACCACTGCTAGAAATGCCCTCACAGTCACCATCTTGGCTACTGGAGCAAATGTTTCTGTGAAATCCACCCCTTCTACCTGGTGATTACCAAAAATGACCAGGCGAGCTTTGAATCGTTCTACGGTTCCATAAGAATTGTATTTGATCTTATAAACCAATCTATAGCCAAGTGCCTTCTTTTTATGAGGTAGTGTAGTTACCTCCCATGTTTTATTATATCTCAATGCGCCAATTTCTTTCCTCACCCCTCCATCTTTCATCTTTCACTGCCTCATGGAAGGATTTTGGCTTATTTTCGACACTAATAACTGTAAGAAATTTTCGATGGTGCAAAGAAAATTTATCACAATTTACATAATGTATTATGGGATAACACGTACCAGAGGCATGCGATGGAGTAGGCAGCGGGGTGGATGGGCTCAACATAGAAATAGTATTAGTCACATAGTCTCGTAACCGCACAGATGGCTGCTTCACTCGATGACCACGCCCTAACTGACTATGCTCATTATTTCTCTCTTCATCCCCTTTGTTCTATCAAATTCTCATTCCCAATTCATATCTCAATCTCGCAAGTGCTCCCCATGTTGTCACACTCTTTGTCATTATCTTCACCAATCACTTTTCTTACTTCTTCTTCATTAATTACTTCCGTCTATGCCGCACTCAATTCCATATTCCATTCCATCACCATACCCAATCTCATCATGTTCAATTCTAAAATTTGTGTCCCCTTGATTGAAAGGAAATCCATTTTCAAAGAAATCAACATCACGGGACACAAAAAATACTTTTGTATCCAAGTCATATACTTTCCATCCCTTTTTTCCATAAGGATATCCAACAAAAAGTCAAAAACACATCTTCTGCTTCTACTTGCAAATTTATCTCTTCTACCTTCTTTGTCATGTGCATAACACAACGATCCAAACACCCTCATATGATTATACACAGGCAAGTTTCCATACAAGATCTCATAAGGCGTTTTTCCATTTAAAATAGGAGCGGGTGTCGTATTTATTAAATATCCAGCAGCCGGCACACATTCTCCCCAAAATTTAATTGGCAAACATCCTTGAAATCTTAATGCACATGCCACATTCAAAATATGCCTATGCTTTCTTTCTACCCTCCCATTTTTTTGTGGTGTTCCAGTACAAGATGTTTGAAAAATTATTCTATGTTCAAGAAAATAATTTTTCATGCATGTAAATTCTGTCCCGTTATCGCTTCGCACAATTTTTACCAATTTATGATATTGTCTTTCTACCATATCAAAGAAATTTATCAAAATACGTGTTACTTCTTTCTTATCCACCAACAAATATATCCACACAGCACGTGAATAGTCATCAACAATTGTAAGGAAATAGGATGCACCACAAGAAGACAATGTTTTATAAGGACCCCACAAATCACAATGTATAAGTTCGAATGCACTAGATGCTTTATTATCAGTTAAAGGAAATGCAGCTCTAGTTTGTTTTGCATGTTGGCATACGTCACAAGCTTTATTTAACTACAAACTATCTTCACTAGAACTAACCATATGAATCAATTTAGTACTTCTAATGGAAGGATGTCTCAACCGCTTATGCCACAAGTCCAATGAATCCACCACATCCATCTTAAATGCCTTAGTCCTTGACACTTTTCGGAAGTAGTAGAGCCCATCCCCCCGCTCACCCGCACCAATCAGCATCCTCGAAGTGCAGTCCTGAATAACACACACATTATTAGTAAATTGGATAATACTATTTGATTCATCTATTAACTGCGACACAGAAATAAGATTGCAATTTAATTTGGGCACAAAAAGAACATTTCTTAGTCGCAAATTTTCATCAAGGTCTAACGATCACTCCTTCGTAGCTATCGTATTCCGTCCATCTGGTAAGCCTACGAGGCATCTAATTACTTCTCGTAATCCAAACAAAATATTTGAGTTCCCCGTCATATGGTTTGATGCTCCTGTGTCAATTATCCACTGCATGTTTTTACTTGTCATTTTATCTTCGTTAGCCTTGTGAGTATTCAGAATTGCAAGAAGACTTTGCCACTGTTCATTGCTAAAGCCAGGAACACTAGATTTCTCTGCCTCAATCTCTGACCCTATATTTTCTCCTATCTTAATTGTTTGGGTGGCATTTGCTCTCACGAAACCTCCCCTTCCACATCCAGTTCCAGTTCGTCCTGTCAATTTTTCTCCTCCACGTGGACGATCTCCCCACCAATCTGGATATCCTATAATCTTAAAACAACCTGATATATCATGCCCACTCCTCCCACAACCGGCAAAAAGCACATTCTTTCCCATCACTTCTCCCCGTCCATTTCCTTTGCTTCCTACTTGCGCAGCAAGTCCCATTACTTCTCCACGCTCTTCTGCCATCCGACTTGCATTTTTCACCCTTTCTTCACGGATCAAGGCTGCGTACACCTTATTTAGGGATGGCAGAGGTTCTGTTGCCAGCATGTTGGTCGTTACAGTGCCATAGCTTGCCCCATCCAAACCCATAAAAAATTGATGCACCTTTTCCTCTTCTCTACGATTTTCAAGTTTTGCCGAAATATCACATTTGCATCCATCACACAAACATGTAGGGATTGTTCATAGTTAACCAAATCATCCCAAAGTGCCTTCAATTTTCCATAATACGAAACTATGGGCATCCCACATTGTTTGCACTGACTCAACTCGGTTTTGATCTACTGAATTCGTTGTCCATTTGCAATAGAAAACCGCTCCTTAATGTCATCCCACAGATCCTTTGCATTTTCCATGTGTGAGATGGTTGTGCATAAGTCAGAGTCGATAGTATTTCGAATCCATGACACCAACATGGATTGGACAGTCCACCAATCGTCATATATAGACGATTCCTTGTCAGGTTCTAGTATGGTCCCTTCTACGAAACCCCATTTTCGTCTACCCCGTAGCGATGTTTGAACGGCGCGAGCCCATTCATCATAGTACTCATCACCACGTTGTCGGACTTGGGTAATGACTTTCCAGGATTATCATTTGAGTTCAGATCATAGGGAGAAATCACTCTCTTCACTTGTTCCACCTTCTTACTGTCAGCTTCAACTATTGGCTCTGATGCCATGTTAGTGTAATAAGAAACAAAGGCAACAGAAGAAAAGGAAGAGAAGTTCTATGTGTTCTCACTGTCTTTTTTCACTGTGAGCAGAGCAAAATATATATACAAAGCTATAATCACAATCTTACCTAAAACACTTTCAAACAATCTACCTAAAACATGGTAAGAAATAAATCTCTACCAAAATAATATATAGTAATACCAAAGTAATATACAGTATATGATCTTTACATATATAGCATAATATTATTGTTATTAACTATAGTGGTTTTTCTCAATTTTGTCCTAAACGACTTTGTGTCATAAAGTAGTCCCAGATTTTTGTGTTGTTGCTCAATATTGTCCTCTGTCAGGTAATCCGTTAAAAGGGTGTTATGTAAAGGGATAAATTAGTAATTTCAAATTTATGTCTTCTCTCTTTTTAGCTTTATTCCATCATGCGGACTAACTGCGAATGTAATTGAATCTGTAGATTGTGTTCGTGTGTGATGTGTTTATCAGCTGCGACTGCGAATTCCCCAAGTAAATCAAGAAACCAAGAATTCGCCGAGTAAATTCCCGCAACGAAACCCCAGGTTGTGTTAAATGCAGAGAAACCCCATATTCTGTTAATCTGTTTATCAATTTCGCTAAGTAATACAAAAGCAAATTAAAGCCACTCTCAGGGACCGGACCGCTTAATTTGTTCTTGGAAAGACTCAATGTTTTCAATCCCCGGAAATTTGAAAGAGACATCGGGATGAGAACCGAGAAATGCATGGTTGATTGGAAGGTCGGCAAAAGTATCAAGATTAGGCTATCCAGTGAAATCAAGACTTATGTTGTCAGACAAAGAATTGTTCCTAAGGTCAAGTACTTGCAGGCTAGAGCATAATGTTAAAGTAGAAGGCAACTTCCCTGAGAACTTATTGAAATTTGCATCAAAGAACTCTAATTTTGTCAGATTTCCAAACACATTAGGAAGAACACCATAAAAGTGGTTACTAAATAGAATTAAGGATTTGAGATTGGAAAGCTTACTAAGCTTAGTGCTTAACTAGACAGATAAGTTATTGGCAGAGACTGAAAGCTGCTCCAAAGATGAGATTAAGAACAAAGACTCAGGAAGCTGTCATTGGAATCCAAATGCAAGAGAGAGAATACCTAAATTTGAAATTACTAATTTATCCCTATACTTAATACCCTTTTGACGGATTACTTAGCGGAGGACAATATTGAGAAATAGCACAAAAGTCTGGGACTACTTTATGACACCAAAGTCGTTTAGGACAAAATTGAGAAAAACCTCTATAGTCGAGGACAATTTTGGGTATTAAATCTTTATTTGCCTTATTTTACTTTATACATATTAATTTTGGTATGGTAATTATATTAAGTTTAATATTACCATATTATTTGACCTTAATTAATATTGTATATTATTTTGGCAAATGGTAAATAGATGGTAATTGCTTGTTTTTGGATTAATATTGATGCCTTTTAGTTTTCTCTTAATTTTTTGCATTAAATTCATAATTAAATTATTATTCAATTATGGGCAAATATT